GCTTGATCACATAAAATCACAGGTGTAAATGCACCCAAAACGCACTGAGCATAGATCATGATCCAATCAGCCAAACCACCTCAGGGACAGTTGTTGGGGACACACTGTGACCACTTTGAACACAAGTGTAAATGCAATTGCACACAAGCACACACAGAGACTGTATGGGTTGTAGCGGCTGCTGCAGGAGTTGTAAGAGGCTGCCCGGCCATACACACACAGTGATAGGGCTACCCTGCCACTGTGTGTTACTGATGGGTTTAGCGACAGAGTCAAGCCATTTTAGTGTCAGTGTGAGTTTGTTGGGACCGTTTAAGAGCTTGGTGTCTGATGTTAGCTGCTGCGTTAGCTCGTGCTAACTGGACAGACATTGAATTGACTGTTCCCTGGAAGGAGAGCGGGTGCAGTGATGGCAGCAACAGAAAGTTTGCTGATCCACTGGGGAGTCGGGACGGTCTGAAGATGTTTCAATACTACTTGGTAAAGGGTTGTTTTGGTCAAAAGGTATCAAGTACTGATACCTAGCCCTATTTAGCTGATTAGTTATTTGGTCTATAAAATGTAAGAAACGACTGAAAACTGCTTTCAAAGACCCAAGCTGACACATTCAAATAGCTTGTTTTTGTCCAGAATCCAACTTTATTAACTTGACACTTACAGAAGACTAGGAAAACCAGCATAAACCAGCACTAAAAATGTATTGGAACTGATTAATCAATAATCAAAAGGATTACTGTCAATGGCAATTTAGGATCTGACATCCTATCTTTTGCATGTTTTCATATAACTAACCTAAAAAACAGCCATACAAGCATGAATACTAAATTAGCTTACATTTACGACACACAATTTTGCTTCAGAAAAGCTTCAGCTGACATCACTATAAACACATGTGATGTGACAGTGTGCAACCCACCCTATTCTTAGAAAAGAGACATTTGTGGGGCTGAAGAGTAAATGTCACTCTTGTTATAGAAATGCCACTCTCCAGTTTATCACTTTATCATTTTCAAGTAGTGACTGAGAGGCTTCGTAGTCTCTGCTGGAGGACTCGACCCTCATTTTCTAGAAGCTTAAGTTTAATAATTGATGGCTAAACAGATATTATAAAGTGGGGACCTTTCTCTCTTTGAATAGCAGCAGTGTAACGACCTTCATCTCGATAAGGCACGCATTATTTATTTAACAGGTTCCAGGGATGGATTTATGGTGGAAGAAGAAGAAGGAGTGGTCAGAGAGGCGCAGTCAAGCCTCCGCCGTCTGAGGAAAAATCTCCAAAGCACCGCTTGTGAGTAAGACTCCACTCGCACTGTGCTGCTGTCTCTCTGACGCCCTTCTAATCATTCCATTTATCATCTCCTGCATGAAAAGCTGTGACTGTAACAATGAGGCAGGATGGAAATGACAACTTCCTGTGAAAGCAGAGGAGGGGGTTGGCGGACACGCTGATGATAATGTCAGGTTATGCAAAAACATGTTAGGCTGTCAACACTCTGACACCTCGGACTGACTCATTACAGAGCCTGGTTTCACCCAAGTAGGAGTACTAGAGAGCAGACTGCATCTCACCTCAATGAGAGGAGATCACACAGAAGAGTGGGTGTTGGAATCTTAGTAGTCATGGGCTCATACGCATGTTTCTGTATGTGAACATTTCCCAGACACATGCTCTTACACACGAAACTATGAACCATCCAAATGTATTAGTATGATGAGTAATGATTCAGTAAGACCTCTGTATGTCTCACTCTCTCTGACACTCTGAAGGGAAACACCTCTGAATCCCTGAGATCAAACGCCTGTTTGTGTTTATGTTTGTGTTTATCTTTTGTCTTCCGTTCTACTCTGCAAGAAGTAAAAGCCATCGAGAGCATTTCCGATTAAGTCACTCACTGGATGTTTCATTTTTTGCTGTTGTAAAATATTTGACACTTTGCCACAGATGGCTAATTAGAAAATTTACACCAGAAATGACACTTTGTAAAAATGCAACAACAATCTTCTGTGATCAAATATTAAAGTATGTGGGAGTATTTTAAGTCAGTGTCTCTACATTGTAAATGAGGGACAATGTTTTTGGTCCATGCTCGTAACTAGACCAGCTTGTGGTGCACTTTTAAATTATAATGTTTTATATATGTTGTATATCTTACATATTTTATCATTGACCCTGTTTACAATGGCATTTAAAATATGTTCCAGTATTCTGAACACAACTGGACAGTTGAGACACATCACTGTTCACACCTGTGTTCAGATTCTGTTACTCCCAACGTTACTTCAGCTAGAAGGTCAAACTTCCCCGTGCACAGTTGTTATGTCCACACTCGCGCCAGTCATGTTAGCGGTAGGCCTGTCGCAATATGCGATAAGTCGGTTAATTGCACGGTAAATTAAAAGGGAGATGGTAACTTTTCCGGCCGCGATTAATTGCCATATTCATGCATGTTTGTTTTCCTTGTGTCTCTCCACCAAAGAGACTGGACGACAAGAGCGTTCACTGCCGTGCATCGTCTGGCGGCCAGGTGAGTTGGTTCATTAGCGTAATGAACTGAAGTAAAGTGTCTTTGTCTCTGTGGGGGAGGCGGGGCTATGGGCTACACACACACACAGTGCGATCTTCGTGAGGGGGAGACGAGGTGGAGAAGAAAACAGAGAGTTGAGTGTAAGAGAAAGACATGGAACTTGTTCCTATACCAAATGCCACGACTCCTGTGTGGGAGTGTTTTGGATTTAAGCCAAATGACAGAGGGGAGCCCAGTAATTTGGACGAGCCTGTATGCCGGGTTTGTTGTAAAACCATCTCAACAAAAAGAGCGAATACGACTTAACTGCACACCTGAGAGTGAGAGACTGACAGTCTATTTTTTTGTATTTATAAGGTCTTTATTTATTTATTTGGTATTTTTACGTGTTATTTCGGATATTTAAATTTTCTTTTTTGCATTCCTAAATACTCTTGGTAAATAAATGTTAATTTCTCTTTCAAAGGGTGTACTTGCATCATTATGCCTTTATTATCATTATATAAGTTGAAAAAATGGTCTAAAAACAGCAAAATTACAACAATAATAAAAATGGTCTCAAAAGCACAATATTACGCAATATTATGGCTTATCGCAATAATTTCTGATGCAATTAATCGCCCAGCAAAATTTGTTATTGTGACAGGCCTAGTTAGCAGTTGAGTTGTATATCTATGAAAATTAAAAGGCATCAGTATTCGTATATAACCCCATATAATCGTTAGCCAGTAATACACAGGTTATAACTCACATATTCAGGAAGGCTGTGATCGCATGACTAATGTGCTGACAGGAGTAAATAAGGAAGTAGCATAAAGAGCTAAAGTCGTATGTAACGTGGCAGGTTGGGATGGTGGATGGGTCAAACAAAGACAAGACTTTTCCCCAGGAGACAGGTGTTTGTGTCCCATGTGAAACAAAGTGAACTTTGAGTCATCTTAAGGTACGTCATTACTTCGTCACATTACTTTTAGTACGTAACTTTACGTTACCTACATAACGTGACGACACCCACCCACGATACTTTTTCTAAACCTAACCTAACCAGTAGGGGCGCTAATTCATGGGGCACTAATTCGTAAGGTATCATACAAACTGTTGTATGAGGATATGTTAGGTGGTTTGAATGACTGGATTACGATGCACCTTGGTGCTTGTTTACACTTGTATTTAGCGCTGTCCACTTGTAATCAGATCATCGAAAAAGCATTTTAAAACCACTAGTAAAGAGGGTAATTGTGTATTTTCTGTGTCCCTTTACTTAAAGTCCCTTGTTAAAGACAATTTTTTATTTCAGTGATTAAGCAAATCAAAAAAGAAAACTGAAAATGACATCCAGCAACACTGAAGAATGATGATAATTTTTTAGCGCTAAAACGAACATGAGAGAATGTCTATATAAGTGAAACATAAGATCAACAACATCTGCACTGTTACCTGAGCACTCACCATCATAGTCAGATTTTGGCAAGCCCAAGCGTTTCCACATTAGATGAGGAATTCTGAGAGTTGATGCATGCTGAAGCTCAAAATGGCGGGTTGATATGAAATCCAACCTTCAGTGATGCTGGGGCTGACGTGGGGAACTAGACGTGCTCGTATTTGTGTGTCATACACCTCTTCTCTAATCCTCTCTGTCCTCCTGCCTTTCACTTTCTGTCCCCTCCTTCGCTCAAAAATAGTCTCACCTGTCATTCTCCTGTTTTCAGCTCAAACACACTTCCATCAGTCTCCTTTTACCAAACTGCTCTCTACCCACAGGCCTGTTGTCACTGAGCAAAAGCGTCACTTATTAGGAAGCACTTTACTGATAGTAAACAGCTAAATAGCACATTAAATTCCAATTATCACTGTGATAATTAACATTTTAAATCTAATTCAGCAACAAGCTGAAAAGAACTAGAAACACCCCCCTCCTCTCGCTCTATGTTGCCTGCTCGGCTCTCAAATAATAAAAAGCAAAATTATTCCAGCCTCATTTTCTTCAGGGCACATGATTTAGACACATTACGACCACAATAACACTACCCTGACTGTGGGTAAACAAATAATGTCATGCTTGCAAAATGCCAAACAAATCAAGAACGGGAATGGTGTCGGTGCACGAAAACAACACCAACACTGTTCCTCATCATATTCGTCATAGGACAGCAGAAACAACAGGAGGCAAATTTGTTATTCACACAGGCCATCAAACATCCTCACGTTAGCTGGACACATCAAACAGAGCTGGTGTTTCACAGCGAGCATCAAACAAAAGAGAAAAATGGAATGACCCTAAATGTGATGGGTCAGGTGGCAGACATTACAACAGTCAAGTGTACAGCAGCAAAGGACAGTGTATGAAGAGCTGTGAAAAAGGCAGAATGCACTACAGCGGATGTTTACTGTACACACACACAAACTCACACACACAGACACACGTGGGTCTCATTTTATCTGAATGAGTCAGATGTCAGATAATTTTGTTTTTACCTTGGCACTGGAATCCTTGTTTTCCAAACCCCCTGCAGAAACAAAGAAGGCTGAATTAAATCACTGTTCACTTTCTCCTCCTCCTCCTCACTCACACATATACACAGTATATTCCTTCATTCATACCAGGAATAGGGTGTTGCATAAGGTGAACAAGCCAAAATTTCCCTGTTTCATTGGAAGCATTAGTGTCATCTTCCCCAACCAAATAATCACAATGGATATTTCAGAACACAAAATACTCCCAACTACATGTTATGACCAAAAGTATGTGGACACTCCTGTGGTTTTCATGTGATATTTCTGACAACAGAGTGCTTCCATTTTTATAGCAATAGTTCAAGGAAGGCCCTTTCATGTTTCAATATGACAACTTTGCCCCTGTGAAAAAGCAGGGGCTCTAAAGAGAAATTTTTCTGAGCTTGGAGGAACCTGACTAGCCTGTGCAGAGCCCTGACTTCAACCCCATCCAGCACCTTTGGAATGGATACAAACACTGACTGTAAGCCGTACCTTATTTGCCAACATCACTGTCGGCCTTACTAATGTTCTTGTGGCCAAGTGGGAACAGTTCCCTACAGCCTGGCTCCAAAATGTTATAGAGCCTTTCCTGAGGAGAGTGGGCTTTATTAGCAGAAGATTAACTCCCATTGTTGCGGAATATTGTGTTTGACAGTAAGTACATTTACATGCATGCAGTAGTCTAGCTAAGCCCATAGCTCGGCTGATCAGTCAAGTCGGACTTGCACTGCTATATACTGCACTAGGGCTGCAACTGTCAACTATTTCTTCGATTAGTTGACTAATCATTTTATCGAAAAATGTGTTAAAATGTTGAAAAATGTTGGTCTGTCTCTCCCAAATCCAAAAACTTTGTCATCTAATGTCTTGTTTTATACTCACGCAAAAGGGTTTTAGTTCACCGTCATGGGAAAGTGTGTAAAGCTGCCAATATCTGAACATAAAAAGCTGCAATAAGAGTATTTTGGGGTACTTCTACAGTACTTTTCTAAGAAAAATGACTAAAACCGATTAGTTGACTACTAAAATGACAAATCATTGCAGCCCTATACTGCACTGCTGCTACATCATCTCTTTCTTCCTCCGGGTGAAAGCTTACGAAAGAAAAAGTGGTGCATGTGCAGAACGCCGAGTCCGACTCCAGTCTGACTAAGTGGATACATGCAGCAATAGTTCAATTTTCAATCGAATTATCTAGATGCTTTAGTCGAGCTACGGATAGTCCAATTTCAGTCGAACTAAGCTGTTTACATGCATTTAAAAGTCCGGTTTCAGTCGGACTAAGCCAATAATTCGATGTTCTCAAGCTGCATGTACACGTACTGAGTCACATATGGGTGCAATGTTTGAGTGTCCACCAAAGTTATTATATAAAACTTAAACTAAATAACAAAAAGTAAAATAAGTGGTGATGGATAATGTCTGAAACTTAGACCAAATAAAACAATGTCCTTCAAGTAAAACTAAACTGAAATGATTAAAGAATGAATAAATAAAATAAAAATGAATGTAATTCAAATCCGTTTTCGTTTTGTAGCTATCAGATATCACTACCGAAATGATGAGACAGCACTAATTTCTGTCAACTCTCATGACATCATGTCACAGAAAATAAACAAACTTGACATTCCAGGAGATAGCACTGGCTGTGACTGCTACACAATTAATCCCTATTGTTTTTCACATGCAGTCTAGTTTTGTAGAATTAAATAACGTGAGCAGGACTTAAATAATGTAGCAGATCAGGTGACAAGTTGTCCTCTGAGTGTGTAAGTGAAAGAGTATTCAAGTTGATTCCCCTATCAAAAGATTTAAACGGCAGTTCTCGGACCATGTATTTGTATATAAATATAAATGTAGTCAAAGCTAACATAAAATTAACTAAATGAAAAGTCAAAGCTATTATAACCATGGTGTCCACATACTTTGGGCCATATAGTGTATGTTCTGCTGCTCTCAAATGAGTGATTTGATTTTAATCAGCTTGTCAGGACAGGAAAAAAAAGTCTTCCAAAAATAGCAACTTGACAGCTGAAACTGAAACTGTCAGATAAAGAAAACACCAACAACCAAAAACTTGATGTCAAATCCCAATCTGATTTCACACTCAAATTGGCATAAAGACTCTCCCTTCTGAAATCTGTAAAGCAAAGCAACCTGAAAGTGTCACGCTGAGCTTGTGTTTTGCTAAGGAGTGATGTTGAAAAGGACAAAGGTCACGCTGTAACGCTGTCAAGGTAATACGCCACCCACAATAAAGGGCCTTAGATCACACTCCCACCTGTGGCAGCAAAGGACAGTAAACATGGGTGCAACTCTACCAAGCTGTCTCCAAGTTTACTCTTCTCACACTTAAGATATTACTGAGCTCACATCTCCCTATAAAAAGCCCAGCAAACATAGGTTTTGTCATACTTTCCAAATACATTGTGTCAGAAATGGAAAAACCTGCAGCATAAAGGCAACACTGTGTACTTTAAGTGTTTCATCTGGAAACCATGTGCATGTGTGGAGCCATTCCCTGCAGTGTAGGTGAAGTGCTTTTCCATATGTGCTCCGCAGAATTTTTTCTTCACATCTATAGTGTTCAGTAGTTATGCAAGGGTTCTTTTTTTTTTTTACCAATAAATACTTGAGTTGTTCTCCACAGTAAAAAGCCAGTAGATGGAAAGCTTTAACAGCCCGACTGTGTGCCAGGAAGGGGGAACCTATTACTCATCCAAAGACTTTAACTGGGTCCAATCTCAGCAGCTGCACAGCAGTGATGTGTTAATCAGGGAAGACAACAATAAAAGTGGACTTTAACAGTTGCCTGTCATCACTGATCCAACATCACTCATGCAGAAATGTGTTAATTTATGTCTATGCAACACTGAAGTTGTTCTCACACAGGGGGTGTGGGATCTACTGGGGCCACAACATTGAAAACGGCTGCTTTAATTTCCCTGTTCCTCACTGGGAATGTTCCCAGTTGGAGAGTGTGTTTAAAACCACAACCCTGAACTTAAGTCACTGTGCTGCAAACAGTTGTTACTTAAGTGCTGCACTAATAACATAAACAGCAGCAGAACTCCTCCCATATGGGATGGCTGGGACAAACTGGGACCACTGAGTTAAATCTACTAACTTCAGGAGAACACTGACGACTTTTGGACACGCATGTTATGTCACAACCAGTCAGGAAGTCTTGTAGGAATGTGGGTTGCAGGTTAAAGACGGGAAAGTTATCACAAAGTTGAATTACATCATCGAGCAGAGTCGGCTGAAGTTAGCAGTGTGCAACAGGCAGCAGTCAGGGGGGTGGAGGTGGGAGACGGAAGCCTTACCAGATGAAGTCGGTGCAGTGGCTGCAGAAAGTCGGCTGCTTGAAGAACCTGGCTATGAATTTATGGTTCTTGACCTCGTGGACGTTTTTTTGCCTCAAAGCACCTTTGCGAGCAAACCTATTCGCCACGTCCCCGCCGGACGACTCGTTTGAACTTACATCAGCCATGTCCCCCCTAGAAACAAATCAATGCTACAGCTCAGTGTCGCTGTGTTGGAGTGTTTTCAGTCCGTGTAGAGGCGCAGCCCTCACAGTAGAGCCAGCAGAGAGCGGAGCGGCGGTCTTCACCGGAGACACTGTACTTACTGTCTGAGGGTTTTCCCTGCCTGTGCTGCTCCACTGACAGCTCTGCTCTGCCCGCTGCCAAGTTAGCCTCAGCGGGGAAACCACCCATCCGGTCCCCTCCTTCAAAATAAAAGCTCCATTCACTATTCTTATCATTATTATAATGTTCTTTTTATTGAGATAACCAATCAAATATCCATCAAACCTTTTACCGTCTCACATACATTTTCTTTTTTAAACATTTAAACATTTTCAACCAGTCATTTTAAATCAAATAAAAGAGAGGAGGGAAATGAAGGATTCAAAAATAAATCTAATACTAAAATAAATTAATGAATAAGCACATTTATTGTTATTATTATTATCATTATTATACATTTTCTTTTTATTGAGATAACCAATCAAATATCCATTTAAACATTTTATTGTCTCACATACATTTTTTTCTTTTTTCAAAACATGAAAGATAACGTAAAGTTTAATACCAGTAAATATGAAAAAAAAAACTTTAGGACTGATTTGTAGATACTTTACATCGATCCCATACATCTACATCTACATATACTATCTGCCCACACATTTTCAATCAGTCATTTAAATTTAAAAAAAAAAAAATGAAAATAAAAGAGAATAAAAATGAATATGTAAAAAATAATAAAGAGGAGGAAAATGGGGAAGGATTCAAAAATAAAAGTAAAAGTAAAATGAATAAATAAATTAATAATAAGCACCTTGTTATTATTGTTATTGTTAATAATAATAATATATGCAGAAGAAGATCAAATTAATAACATGGAGAAATTGTTTTTATTTTCTGTCTTTTGTTTTTTATTCATGCACTTATATCTTTGGTACATTTCTGCATCTGTTTAAATATAAATTAAAGGAAGGATTCCAGTGGAACAAGTAATAAATCATTTGAAACCTGGAGCAATGAACTAAGGGATCCTTCAACTTGTGCACTCTTTCATATAAAGTCTGATCTCATTGGCAATATGTACTTAATCCCGTTATCCCAAATTCTATGACCTTTGTCCAGTTGCAATCTGGAAGAAAAAGTCAACTTCTCCATCACACATATATCATGTATTACACCCACCCAGTCCTCTATCTCTCTCTTTTTTTTTCATTTTAAGTTAGTTGTGGAAGAGGCTGTTCTCTACACACACCCTGCTACTGAATCCACACAATTCTTGCACATGGAAGAACTTTGTCCTGTTTCTGCCAGAAAGCTCATTCTGAAAAGTGCTAGCTACCCAATAAATTGATATAAACTTGTGAGCAAGACAGTAGTTTGGACTTTAGAAGTAGCCCTCTGAGGTCATGAGTTCCAGTCCATACCCTGGTAGAAATATTTTAGTGAATATACTTTCAGTCCTAGAGCTTAACTCAGCTGCTGAACTGAACCTGATACTCCAGATTTGGTCAACAGAAAACTTATTTTATGGGGCCCCGTGGACAGTGGCACCCCCAGATATCTTTTATAGGGTTGATCAGATGGGGCAGATGGGGGGATTTCAGGATTTCAAGTATTATGTAAATATGACAGTTTAGGAATCACATACTGATAGACCCTTTTTTCATATTTAATATGTTCTGTATCCGTTTCATTGTTCTTGTAATAGGCTGGTTGTCCTTTTCCCTAAGAAAGGCTTTAATTTGAAGGAGTACACTAATTGTAAGGAAGAAAACATTTACTGGGAACAAGCCTTCTCAAGTTTAGCGGAGACTCGCCCATTTTCATTCAAATACCTTGAGGTGAGAGTTTGAGGGACTGACCATGCCAGATGTTTAGCCTAACTTTGGAGCATTATTTAGCCCCCTTCCCAACAAGCTATGCCGACATAGCTGGTATCAACAGATGTTCTTAGGTCATCTAGCTAGCCACAGCCTATTAAAGACAAAACTGGGGGTCAATAAGGGGCAAGCAATTATATCAGGGTGGCCATGAGCCCCTTGGGGATGCCACTGCCTGTGTAAAGGGATGACTAAAAGACTTATTTTGCAGGCCGTTTTTCATGAATATTAATCAATACAATTGTCTGGCTTTTTTGTGCAGGAATTAGTCTGAACTAGCAACTGTGCTGCAGCGCATGAAGCTTTCGTGGTAGCTTTGTCTAGTTTGCTTTAAAAGTGAGTAACTAACTAGGCCTGCAGTTATATTATTACATTGTTGTCATTATGAGTAACACACACAAAAAGCAACTTTCAACTGAGTGTAGACCAGAACTACACTCACATAAATCATGTAGTCTACATATAGTCAAAAAATATGTAATGTTATGGAACAGCTCTGCAATAAATCAAACCTTCATGAAAGTTATAATGGTCAGTTTTTGCTTAAATTAAAGGCTGTGTTTAAGTGTCCACCCCATTTGTATCAATAAAGGTGGACAAAATATTCACCTCTCACGCACAACTAAACAGCACCACAAACCACGCATCATAAATTTGAAACAACACTACTAAATCATTTTCAGCAAAAAATGAATTATATAGCCTTGGTAAATGTAGGATTTATTGCAGAGCTGTTGGGCTGCATCAGCTTTAGCTGCCTAATAAACTGTCAACTGAGAGTATAAAATTCTCAAACTGCCATATATACAGGCCTTGTGTCCTCAGTGTAACCTATGTGTGCAGCCTTTAATCTCAGTCACAGTCACAAAGGGCTTCATGATGCCCCTGTTGTCAAACAATACATGAAAGCATCAGCCATCAATCTTTTGAACCATCAAAAAGAAGCCATGAGACCTTTGCGCATATTAATTCAGCTCCACAGAGGATTTGAACAGGTAACAAGGTCACAAACAGGAATCTCTGAATTGCCAGGCTGTTACTGCTGAAGTCTGTAGTGGATGTTGAATATAGGGGTGATCACATTGTATTGCATATTATCATAATTCCAAACCTGTGGAGCTACCTCTCAAACAGTCAATCCTATAGCCTGACAGAGCATGCCTCTTCCTTTATAACGCGCTACAATTATTTAAAAGGCTCTTTTATTTCTAAGACAAACTTCCTGCTCGTGGGTAAAGTATGTTTGTGTAACTTGACGCTGCTCCGCGCCGCTTCCTCCTTTTCAATCCGGCTGATGTCACGCAACAGGACTGACCCGCCGTGGGAGGGTGGGAGGAGGCCCGTGGTTCCGCTTCAGGAATTTTGGATGGGGAGCGCCACCATGTGGAATCACAGCGCATTACACATGTTTAGCTGCTCTGGAGAGATTGTCAGTAATATGCTGAGCGCAGTGCTTCACACATATAGATCCACTGGTTTTGTGCTTCTGCGTTTCACAATACAGCATCTGAGTATTATGAAGCTAACATTTGTGTGATCACCATTGGGAACTGCTCTGACGGTTCTGTCCAAAAAATGCTCCTGAGCCTCTGGTTGTGCCTCCAATCATATGTGACCCTGCATCAGGCCTGGAGTCAAGAATGTCTCTTTTTTAAAGTCCACAGGAACTGCTGTGTTTTAATCCTTCAAAACTATCATTTATTAAACACCAGCAGATTGAGTTAATGCTTGACCATGGGCGGATTATGAGACAATGGGTCCCTGGACGCAAATATGCAAAAAGGCCCCAGGTTTTGTGTCTCTGAGTGTTAATTTCATGTCTCTTTGTAGTCGTTTTGTGTTGCTTTGAGGTTATTTTGTGTCTCTTCCAGGTCCATTCATATTAATGTGATTGATATTTTGCAGGCAAGGGCCAAGGGGGCTCCTGGGCCTGTGCCCGATAAGCCCATTCAGTAATCCATCTATGTGCCTGACCAGCAACGCAGTATTATTTTTGCCATTTAAAGCTCACACCGTTTGTTTCTGATAATGTTTCTGTGTCAATGTGTCAGTTGTTCTTTTGCTGTAGTTATGAATATGTCTTCAACTGGATTCTATACTGAGACATACTGCTGCTGGTGTTTGCTTCGACTGGATTTACATTTCTTCCCTTTTGAAACATTTTTTCACAGCGGAGGGTTCACCACCTCTTTTGACTTTGCTTGTTCACTATCTCTCAAACTTTTCTGAGTTTACCAATTCCCTGAGGTTCACTGACCAGCAGAGCAGCCCGACCATCTCAATCCATCTTGTGCGAAAGACAAATATTTGCAAATTAAATCGAGTTAGATAAACCAGATGTGCTCTTCCCTGAAAGCATATGATTTTTGGCCCAAGCCTGTTTAAATAAAACATTCATCACTTAAGAGAAAGAACAATAGTAAAAGAGCTTTTGGCTGTCAGGGACATGATGTATATTACATTAAAATATTGGAGCATATCTGCTGTGTTGAAGCCAACCCTTCAGGACACACAGTATCTCTCTTAATCAACAAATCCTCTGACCTAGTTAGGTATTGCATAATTTCACTGATTATGGTTCTGCAGGTCAAAGAGTTTCTGCTTTGTGGTAATAAACTGAACCTCTTAAATTTTCCTTACCTAACCAAAAAGTATTATGATATCATAATAATACAACACTTTGTTATTTGGCATTATTGCTGCAATGTTGCTTCTTGGCTTCATTAGAGCAGCCATTGAGTTATTTCTAAAAAGGGCATGGTTTGAGTACTGTTCATTGAAAATCTGTGTATGACTCCATGTGTGTGTTTGCACCATGTCTTGGGAGTCTCTCCCTCTCATTATTTATGAGTTCATATCACGCTGTGTGTCCGCTGCCGGCTCTTGTACCAAATCAAGGTTATCGATCGATTCTGGGCAAATATGCAGGAGTTAAGACCTTTGTGCTCAATCAATAAGAGCTTACACTGGCGTCTGATTGGAGCAGGCGATCAGGGGCCCGTTTACCCGGCAGCCTTTATGTTGGCTCCATCCCTACCCAGATGCATGCAGAGGATACTGAGGAGGCTTCACCCCCTTGAAGATGGCTCCGATGCTGGCTCTGTTGGTGCTTTGCCAGTTGGCTTTATACAGAACTGCAACATCCAAGAAAGGTAAAATGGAGCAGGATAATGTGCTTGATTTGTGTTTGAGCATGAAACAACTTTATTGTACTTTTTGTGCTGCAAATATTACAGTTTGACTTGTGTTGCAGTAGAAGTAAAGTGTGCACAACTTTCACAACCGTCTACTCTACACATTGGATTAAAGACTACAGTTGTTGTATCATGGACATTATTGCTGTGAATTATCTTTCTGGTCTTTATCCAGTATGTAGCCGACCTCTTGTCACTGACGGGATTGATGAGTTGACCCTAAAACGTGTGTACGAGGTTGGAGAAGAGGTGACCCTCACGTGTGAACAGGGGTACTTGCCTTCAACGGCGACCCCTCGAAGGATGACCTGCTCCGCCACTGGAGAATGGACACAGTCAGACTTGATATGCTCCCGTGAGTTTACTGGGGTGTTGGAGTTACTGTATATTGATGCAGACATGCAATACTTGAACTCCTGGGATTCTTAAAAACTGTTACATCCATCCGAAAGTAGAAAGTGTGAGCAAGATGGGACTAAAAGTTGGCTTCTCTATTGTGTTCCTGCTTTTACTCCATGATGTCCACTTTTACTTGCATCATCTGTCACATGATGAGGACCAAATGCTGTTCCAGGGGCTTTTTTCACAATGACAAGAACATATTTCTTTGGAGATCATTGAGTTTTTTAATTATTGAGAATATATGGATCAAGGAGCAACCAATTTAGGAACGCTTTTCAGCAGTTTTATCTAAATACAGGGACCTTAAAAATATAAAATGAACGAAAATAACACACATTTTTGTGATCTTACAATATGTATAAATACTGTAATACTGATGACAGTGGGAGTTTAACCTACAAGAGATGTATGTTAAGTACTGTACCACATTTCCTACAGCTAAGATGTGCCCAATCCCTAGACCTCTACAGCCATTAGCCATGGGGAGAACAGAAGCTCCATTCAAGAGTGTGCTGAACTACACATGTGATGACGGGTAAAATCAAATTACTATACGGTTCCAGAACATTACACAGTGTGTTTACTGTAACTTATGTCAGATTAATGTGAACTTTGTCAGGTACGTCATGCTAGGAGCCAATGAGAGCAGGTGTTTACATAATGGCACCTGGAGCAATCCACCACCTGTCTGCAAAGGTACTGCACAGAGGAAAATATACGTAATGTGGAAATGGTGACTGCATTTTTCAGTGAAGGGAAAACAGAACATCGAAAAGGGTTTTTAAATGACAATAGGAAGATGGTCTTCTGTTTGTTTATTAATGCACTTGTAGTTGCTTGATTTCTGTTTCTATGTATTTGATTTGAAGATGGCCAACTCACTTTGTTGTCTAGAAAGCAGAATAAATATAAATTCTGACATCATCTTAATGTGGATTTTGCATTCTTAAGGCTCACAGAAAGAAGCTTCAGTACAACTCGAGCGTGATTGTTTTACCTCTTACAGCGGTGAACTGTCCGCTGCCTAAGCCACCTGTAGGTGGAAGAATTGTCCATGATAAGCCAGTTACTGGAAACACCATCATGTATGGGCAAGGCTGGACATACGAGTGTAACCGACTGAAGGCACCAAGTTATGAGAGGGGATCCTGTATGGCTGATGGAAGTGCGACTGAGCCACCGGTGTGCCAAGGTACGCAGACAAAGCCCGTGTTCTCCATCTTCTTTAATCGTTGCTTCCCCTTTCATCTGTTTCTCTTCTTTGTGATCAGTAATGGGACAAATAGACAGTTTACTCACTCTGAAAAATAACTCCTTACACTTTCGGCCTGTTTTTGATCATCCCAGATGTGAGCTGTGCCGTCCCAACAGGCATACCAAACGGCTTCATCACCTTTGCTGTGATGAGACAACATGGCTATAAGGAGAAGGTTAAGTATGCCTGCAATGATCATTATGTTCTGGATGGTGAGGCAGAGATACAGTGCCAAAACACAGGAAACTGGTCTTCCAAGCCAGTCTGCAGAGGTGAGTCGTGGGAGAATCAAATCTTATAACTTACCCGCAGACTAAATGTTTGTGTTTATGATTCAGTATCAGCAGTAAGAAACTAGAAATAAATTCAACATTCAGCTCTGCTTACATGCAAACTTGGGAGCGGTAATCAAAATTTGCTTCAACACGATACTAATGTTACAATCTGCTGTAATAACTGGTCTGTGTTTCCACCCAGCTCCCTGCACGGTTGGCATCAAAAGAGGCCGTATCTTCTACAATGCCAAGAATATCTGGATCGCAGACTTGAAACCCAACAGAGTCCTCCATGGAGAACATGTTGCCTTCTATTGTCTGAACAAAGCTGAGAGGTGTGGCTATCCTGTGGCTAGCACCTGTAATGATGGAACCCTCCCCATCCCAGAGTGCTTTGAGGGTGAGTTCTTGTCAACTCGATAAACATAATTCAAACCTCTCTGGTTTCACCTGTTGAGGTCTGGATGCTCGACAGACCGTTGCAAATGCAAATGTATTTGTAGGGTTTTACATTGAGGCACCATGAGCACTTCTTCAGATGCAAAACCTGTACTTAAAATTGTTTGTAGTGTCAGGAACTTAACTCTATCTGCATGTTTTTTCCAGTGGCAATGACGTGTTCTTGTTCCCAAAAATGTTATGTAAGTCCATCAAATGGCTTATATAATGTTCTTTGTATTTTATGACTACAGTAATGTTTCTGTTTTTCTTTTGCCTTTAGAGCCAGGCAAGGTGGAGTACACCTTAAGGGCCAAAACCCTTCCATCAGAAATCGCAATGTGTGTTGCTTCACCCCCTGCAAGCCCCACAAGCTCTGCAAGACCTGCATAACTCTGCGCAGAATGACTTGAAACACCATGTACACTGACAGAAGATGAATGACTCTGTATGCTGCAAGACAGAGGCCACATATTGGTCCTTATCAGCTAATAATAAAGTCATAGTAGTGATTATTGCTAAAATAATGACAATACGTTTTCATTAAGGAAGCAAAATACTTGTTTGATACCTGAGAGAGTCAACGGCCTGAAGAATCTGTATAGTTTGTAATCCACCGATACACATTTATTGTGCATAGATACCTCAGTATACAATCATAACTGAAGATCTGTGTGTCAGACATCCACTCCCGGGAGATCTGATAGCAATTCACACCTTATTCGTGTGTGAATCTGATGTAAATCTGATCTCTCTCATAACTTCTCAATGTGATATCATGGTGTGAACAACCCACAGAGGTGCTTAGACTCCCCATTAGCCAGTATCATAACTGAAGTGATGAGTACTGAAATGCCTTCAAGACAACCGCACAAAATCACACAAAGGGTGAGACCATGAAATGATCATACTTGCATAGCTTCAACTTTTTGTCTTTGACCAATAAAGTTTGCATACTTGTAGCGTCTGCCTCTGTGGATCTCAGTTCAGTTAGAGTTCCAGTGTGCAGGATTTAGGGGCATCTATTGCCAGAAATTGAATATGACATTCATAACTATGTTTTCTTTTTTATAATCACTTAAGAATAAGAATTGTCTTGTTTTCCCTGCCTTAGAATGAGCCATTTATATCTTCATATGTAGTGGGTCCTCTTCCACAGGGTCTGCCATGTTGTTTCTACTGTAGCCCAGAATGGACAAATCAAACACTGGCTCACTGTAGGGCCATTTGCTTCAGTAGTTCTCCTACACACTTGGCACACAGGAGATGTTTCAGCTCTGCAGCCTCACTGCTAGATGACACTAAATTATACACACTGGACCTTTCAAGTACAAGGTGTACCCTCATAAAAAGGATAAATACACTTTTATCTGAACGGTGTATCACTTTACTTCAACCAGTTTAAATATGGACACTGATATCAAACCTGTTGCTGTTGACACAGAGGAGCATTATTTTTACTGACATATCGACTCCTGCTTTACATGAACCTAGACCTCACTCATTTCTGAAAATTCTGCTCAAATATCTGACACAATAACTCTTTGTTATCTCTGCATTTGTATTGAGATTGCACTGTTAATTTCCCTTGATGCTCTTCACCTCAGAGACACTTTATTCTCTTTAAAGGAATGTCTTACTTCATCCAGAAAATTATCATTTCTATGTCAATTACTCGCCTTGTGTTACCTTGAATTCATGAAGAAATCTTTGCAGTAAATTGCTGCTGCTCAAAAGAATGCACAAGCAGAATTCAGGCTTGCTACTTTTATATGCATGAGACTGTTGCACAAGTGTTTTACATAGTAAGGTTATAGCAAAAATGAATGTGTTTAGGAAGTACTGAGCATATGACTGTATAAATGGAACTTGGATCAAGATGCATGAGTTGTGTGAATTTGAAATGTTTTGATATTGTTTTGCTGCTGTTAAACGCAGCCCCCTTTTTATTTCGAATTTCTCCATTTTGTGTCCTCATTTCCTGCAGAGACATGCAAGAGAAACAAAGCCTTCTTCAGGATTTCAGCCTAACACAGGGTGATTTGTCAACATAAAGATGATCATTTTGTGGGAAAAGTATTCCCCAACCTCTAAACCCATAATTACCATGATGAATGTCATCAGTCATGGATCATTGTTCCGTGGATTTCTTTTGATTTCATGCATCTCTGCTCTTCAAAATGTTTTTAAGCAAGCATGGGGCCAAGTGGGCTGGTGTTACATAACACTGAGGCAACAAGGGAAAGTCCGCCGCCGGAGCTTCTCACTTCCAGTAAAATGTCACAAGGATTACGATCTGTTATTGCAAAAAGCAAGCAGAAAAAAGAGTAGAAAACACAACAAGCATAGCCAGTGAGGAGTTACTTCATGCTGCTCTTATCTGTTTACTTTTAGAGAAACACAAACAGCAGGGACAGAGGGGACAGAGATTCAGTTTTTGAGCCAGAGACCACAGGAAAGAACCGAGGAGCGTCTGTATGTTTCTACAAAGGATGGATCACATGCTGACTTTGTTCCTGCTATGTCCATTTGTGTTTTTTACCATCGTGACATCCGAACAAGACAATGGTATTTGCTTTTATTTCCTGATTTTATATACATTTATTACTTTGCTGTTTTGATGGCTTTAGCATCAGACAGTCTCTACATGTCACAGATTCTAAAGGCATTTGTTTAAGTAGTAATGAGCATGGTTACTTTTAGAGTACAGTGATACAAGGCAATTCGGTGTTCTGCTTGACAAACAGCATACTAATGTGCTAACTAAACTGCTTAGTGCAAATGTATCTATAACAACACTGATTTGTGGCAAAATGTGAAGCAAACACACAGGGCACATTCCGTCTACGTCAGGGTCAGCACATGACTATATACTACATTGCATTTAAGATCAGAGTAATAACCCATATGTTGATAACCCATATGTTTATTAGCTTGTCGACAGGGTTGTTGGGAGTCTTTACATGGTTATCATTAACTCCATTTGTCCTTGCAGTATGTTTCAGGCCTGAGCTGGCTGCCAGCATTGAGATGGATGGGATCCAGAGGTACTTCAGCCCCGGTGCAGAGTTAACGCTGTCCTGTAAACAGGGATACACCCCAGTGTCGGGCCCTCGGAAGATTGTTTGCGGCGCCAGTGGACAATGGACGAAAACCAGATTAATGTGCATACGTGGGTCTCCATTATTCTAGTGAGAACTTGTGGCAGATTGTCTGTTAAATTTGATTTATAAAGTGTAATTTAGACTTGAGTTGCTCTTTAAGTTTAACAGTGATGTCATTTTTTAGGAAACAGCAATATTTTTACTATTCCAAAATATATAACATCATTGTATAGGAATGTAAATTCTACTGCAGTCAACAGTTGACTATCAATGACATCACTGATAGATTTCCCAGTGTTAATATAAAAGAGGATTTATTTTGCTTTAGTTAATTTTGAGAATAATGTTTATCAAGCATGTGAAGCAATGTGCACATTTTCTAACAGATTCTGATTACTACACTTTTATTTATGGTATTATTTGCATTGCGCGTATGAAACACAAATTGTTGCTCTTACAAATATTTACTCTATTTATTCTATTTCATGTGTTTTCTGTACATGTATTCTCTCCTGCAGCAAAACGGTGTCCCTACCCTGACCCAGTGTCTAATGGAGAAATGCACTATGAGGATACAGTGTACAAGAGTACCATCAACTATACTTGTGATGAAGGGTAAAGCCTGTACATCTTGCTGAATTTTATTTGCTGTCTCAGCCACCACGCTGTTCCTGATACACTAGTGGCATTGTTGAAAATCAAATGGAGAACCTCTGATCCTGTAATCAGGCACACTGTTCTTTATGAGACAAGATAACAGCATGTTTAGTTAAATAAAGCAGCTAAACCAGTGAGTGAATTGTGAAGATAAACCAAAGATGAATCAAATGCTGGAACTGATTTGCAGCATTTGAAAGTTCTGACAAAATCTTTTTTAGTTTTCATCGTCAATAAAATTGTTAATAAAACAGCAGGGCAGCTATTTGTCAAAGTGCCAGATAAAGATCTTCTGCCATAAAAGTAAAATCATCGTCATAGATCTGATCTCTATGTAATTTGTCTAACCAACAGCGTTATACATAGTGTCAAAAATTACTACCCTCACTTTTGAGTTCTCATTTTCTCTCTCTATTATTTGTTCACTTTTTGTTGTTGTTGCAATTATGTAGTTGACTTTAACAATTCAAGGGCCAGCATACACAGCAGACAGAGCTATCTACTGAAAACATGTTTTAAAAGCTTTTTAGGTGGAGGTTTGGTGACCGATAAACCAAATTCAGAATAACTGCTGAAATATGAACAGTGAATATCTGACAAGTATTTTAAGATTCCTCTAAACCATTAATACTTGGCTTCAAATGTCATTCTAGTCACCAAAAGGAAATGTTGCCATTGTATGTTTCTGCAGACCATGAATATATTATATTTGCACAGTTCATACCTATCATATCAGCATTGACACCTAGGCCAGATGCCTGCCAAGCTGCAGACTACTGTTGGAGAGCAACAGAACAACAATCAAAACAAACAAGAACTTTTTAGCCTCCAAAGGTGGGGGTTTGTAGAGACCTGTTTTTGGCACAAACAGCTGTTGTTTTTAACCGTGACCTCGCTGCTTTTCCTGTGCCACCAAAAGCAGATGTTTCAAGCCAAAACATGACCTTTTTGCTAACCATCAATATTTTTTGTAGCTAAACCTAACCACACACTAACCACGGCATTGTTGAGACATAAAGTTTTAACTCATCCACTACATTATGAGGTGAAAATGTAACATATAAATGGTTTTCAGAAATGTACAATGGCAACATTTTTTTCTGCTGATCCGCTTGTAAATGCTTTTAACCTGATTTTAGCCAACCATTATGCGTTATGTCTCTTTATTTGTATTCTGCGCATGAACTTACTGAATGACATGACTGCTCTGCACAGGTACATCTTGACTGGAAACAGCTCTGCTGTGTGCCTCGCCAATGGAACATGGAGCACGCCAGTACCAGAGTGCATACGTATGTAATCCACCACATGCAAGACCAGGAATGTACATACAAAGGCATACATACAACACATACAGTATTTGCTTTCTTATCTTATTTTCTGTGGTCTTAGAGGACAGGCACACAATTAAAAAAATTCTGTCCCTTGAATTAATGTTAGGCCAGTAAAGACACATTTCTGATGAGATCTAGAAATGTTCCACAACTCACATCACTTAATTTGCCCAGTTGAAACATACAGTGCACACATGAGTTATATACTAACAACATACAAGGTGTCATATTCTGTCTCCTCTCTCGTAGCTGTGTCCTGTAGTCTCGCTCCGATCCCACAGTTTGGGATGATAATTTATGACAAGAGGATCAGAGGGAACACCACTGATTACGGCGTCGGAGGGACGTACAAGTGTCTGCCTCCATACGTTCTTTTTGGTAACCCAAGAGCAGAGTGCACTGTCAGCGGCACCTGGACTGAGACACCTGAATGTAGAGGTACAGTGGTTAGAGAAGCAGGAGCTGCTGTATTAATGCCAGGAGTAGTTGTTGTGACATTGTTCAGTACACTTCAAATTGCAATAACATGGGATAACTGCCAAACAACTGGTGATATATACATATAGAAGAAGAGAGTATAATGTGAATGCTACATATTCTTCTGTAGAGTTTCTACTGAATGGATTAAATTATTCCCTCTACAGTGGTGACCTGCCCTCCACCAGAGAACATTGACATGGGGTACATGTCAAGCAACGACGAGAGAGATTATGACTACATGGAAACTGTCAAATATGGCTGCAATGGAGACTACGTACTTGAGGGAAGCCTCCAGATTGTTTGCCAGCAGAATGGAAACTGGTCTGAAAAGCCATCCTGCAAGGGTAGGGCTACAATCAATCAATCAATCAATCAATTTTATTTATAAAGCC